AAACATTCTGGGGAGGGAGGAATAAGATTAGATTTGCCTCCCATTTAGAAACAAAATTGCTTTTTTCAATGGATACCTTAGTACCTTATGGTCTCATTGTGGACCTGAATATTAATTCCTTTATAAGTAATTTGTAGTGTTAATTAGAAAGCTTACATATGTTATTTTATATAGAAGCTTTTTTTATGAACATATGGGAATAACAGTAGTACAACTGTTTGATATTTTTATTGTTTTAATGCATAAATGATTGCACATTCCTACAGTTCTAGTAGCAAGTGTTTCCAATATACCTATTTAGGTGTTTCTATGTGGTGGTGATCTTCTTCTCCCAGGGTACCCTGAAGAAGTTCACATGACAAAACGCATATGGCAGGTCTGTGTGGAGCAATGTCACCACATACTTTTCAATGCGTTCTGATGTAATTCACTGTGTCTGTTCCCATTGCCCACAGAAGTTTCTATAACGCTATTATCAGTTTATGCAATTTTGATGTTATAGTGCACTCTGAAAGTGTGAGTTCTTTTATTTTTGTCATGGCCTCAATTCTAAAAACTATTTAACCATGAGCAATTTGTCTATGTTTTGTTTGAGTTTATACTTCAGCCTGACATATACACTATATAACCAAAAGTATTGGGACGCCTGCCTTTACACGCACATGAACTTTAATGCCATCCCAGTCTTAGCCCATAGGGTTCAATATTGAGTTGGCCCACCCTTTGCCGCTATAACAGCTTCAACTCTTCTGTGAAAGCTGTCCACAAGGTTTAGGAGTGTGTCTGTGGGAATGTTTGACCATTCTTCCAGAAGCGCATTTGTGAGGTCAGGTACTGATGTTAGATGAGAAGGCCTGGCTCGCATTCTCCAGTCTAATTCATCTCAAAGGTGTTCTATCGGGTTGAGTTCATAACTATGTGCAGCCCAGTCAACTTCCTCCACCCCAAACTCGCTCATCCATGTCTTTATGGACCTTGCTTTGTGCACTGGTGCGCAGTCATGTTGAAACAGGGAGGGGCCATCCCCAAACTGTTCCCACAAAGTTGGGATCATGAAATTGTCAAAAATGTCTTGGTATGCTGATGCCTTAAGATTTCCCTTCACTAGAACTAAGGGACCAAGCCCAACCCCTGAAAAACAACCCCACACCATAATCCCCCCTCCACCAAACCTTACACTTGGCACAATGCAGGCAGGCAAGTACCGTTCTCCTGGCACCCGCCAAACCCAGACACATCCATCAGATTGCCAGACAGAGAAACGTGATTCGTCACGTCAGAGTCCAGTGGCAGAGTTCGTCAGAGTCCAGTGGCAGCGTGCTTTACACCACTGCATCTTACGCTTTGCATTGCACTCGGTGATGTAAGGCTTGGATGCAGCTGCTCGGCCATGGTAACCCATTCTATTAAGCTCTCTACGCACTGTTGTTGTGCCAATCTGAATGCCACACAAAGTTTGGAGGTCTGTAGCTATTGACTCTGCAGACAGTTGGGGACTTCTGCGCATTGTGCACTTCAGCATTAGCTGACCACGCCCTGTCATTTTACGTGGCCTACAACTTCATGGCTGAGTTGCTGTTGTTTCCAGTTGCTCCCACTTTGTTATAATACCACTAACAGTTGATCGTGGAATATTCAGTAGCGAGGAAATTTCACAGAACACCTGAATCGAATGATTTGGAAGGGTGTCCCTATACTTTTGGTAATATAGTGTATTTGAAGGAGGAGTGAGAGCCATTCAGAATACAGAGACAATATAAACCCCCGGTGGCTACATAAGCACCATGTGACCTTCCTATTATTAGGGGCCAATTTTTAACAGTAAGCTGTTTTTTTTAAGTGGAAGTAAAGGCATTTAAAAAAAAAAGCTTTTAGCCATCTCCCTTGTCAGTGCTTTCATCTTCTCCCTGTTCTTTTTCCGAGTTTCTAGTGTTGGGCTGCTTGATTGGCTGGGCCTCAAAGACGTAACTCCTGCGCATGCGCACGGAAGTCACTTCTGTGCACTGAGATGCACATGTGCAAGTCAGTTTACAGAAAAAAAAGATTTACTGACAGGTAGAAAGAAGAAGATTTTATGGCCGAAGATACTTACACAGTCTCTAATGCCATAGAAACCATGACAATCAGTAGGGTTTTTTTGGAAGCACTTCCACTTTAATGTATTTTTCCACTTTTCCACTTTTGCAGACAAATTTGAGAAAACCCCTCTAAATGTTTGTGTTCCTATTTACACAGCATACCTGAAAATCATTTATAAAAATATGTGCCTGTGTAGCAGGCCTTTGAATTTTAACATTGTACAATTTCATAGTATTAGGAAACTCTGGCTGTCTCCATAGGCCATAGAAAGACTAGGGATATCTTCTCTGTAACATACAATGCTTCTAGATCTTTAACCCTTTGGTAGGACAGACAGTGTTCAAATCTAGTATACAAACGATAGAGATCTGAGATGAGATCTGCCAACACAGTACAGACAGGGATAATTAGGTTAAATATTAACTCCCACCCCCCTTGCATTCCAGGGTAAATTTAGTTTAGCAAAAAACTTTTCTTTCAGGAAAGAGCAAGCAGTGATTTTTAAATACTGTATATGTTTTAAAGTTTTGCTATGTGGATGAGATCATTTAAAAAAAGATAAAATAGCTGTTATGCCAATTTGGCTGCAAAAGTGGAAATGCACTTTAAGTGTATCAATTTTCAGTGATGTTGTTAAGCACATTTATTGAAGCAAGTTTTATCTTAATTGGATGTTATATGGACTTATAAGTTAATGGATTTTCTTTATGCACACACACGGAGGATAATGTTTTCTGTTTTTTATTATATGTTTAAACACTTATCTATATGAATTATTAATATAGAGCAGATGGTGACTGATTATCCCTCATGATTTTTCTAGACATATACTGATTTTCCACTATTTAGTACAGTGCTTCTCTTTATAATGATAATTTTATATCACTGGGAAAGCCTATTTTTATTTTAGCTCTCATGAAAATAACAGCCAGTGATATCAAGATCCTTGTCTGGGCACCTTATGATATCGGGTGGCAATGCTCTGCCCCTGTCTGCCACAATCTCCCTCCTGTAAATTACCCTGTCATGGTCTCCCAAAGGAAACTATAAACATCTGTGCTGATGCACATTGCCCAGGCACATTCCACTGCTGTCACCATTTATAGAAGATCCAGTTTATTGCACTTTTCAGGTGGAAGATGACATAAAGCAATTCATGATAATGTAGCTGTTCACATAGATATTTTAACGTTTTAAATATTGGTGATACAATAAAACATAATATGAAGAAGATATTGCAAAGTATTCTATAATTATAGATACTTACTGTATTAATAATTACTTTGTTATTTTGAACCAACCACACTGTAAATGCATCAACAACAAAAATGGGATAAAGGTACCAAGACCCCATAGACATTGGTATCAAACAAAGTGCATGCTGAGCACACAATGTCTGAAAGTGTGTAATGAACTTAGCAACAAATTCTCTTTGCAATGGCATGCATGCTGCCTACAGAACCTGATGCTGCAGACCCATTAATAATATAATCCCCACCCCCACACTTTGTGGCAGTAGAGGTAGAAAGTCCAAAGTCACACATTTGCTAGCTAATACATGTGTAATTCCTTATAGTTGTCCAATGACTGTGTGGAAGAGATAACTTTCTACTTTGACAAGTAGAAGATACTAGAATATGAGAAAAACAGAACTTCTGTTCCAACAGGACGCTGGAATAAGCCACAAAATATTTATATTCTTTACCATATTAAATATACATTTTGTAGTAATCTTGTGACTTAAAGCTTAACTAAATGGGCCAGGAATGGTAGTAAAAATATAGTATGCTTGAGTTGCTCACATATATATTTATGAATTATATAAATAAGAATTTACTATACTCTTCAGCACCATTTAGTGCTGCTAGTGCCATGTGAAGTCTTTAGTGTCATTGATAATAAGATGACTCACATTCTGGATTTTTTTCTTTACTGACTTCAGTGAAGAGATATCTCCACCACTTTTCCATAGATGCTACACATATAACAAAGCCAAATGTTGGTGTTACACTTTTCCAATATATTCTTTTTTATTTAAACAAATAATTGTGGTATCCAAATGCAATACATGATAATCAACAGGAGGGAATAAGCTGCTATAGAAAATCTTGCCTTCTGAATCTGTTAGAAATTTATAAAGAAGATGATTTAACCTACCGGTGGTAACTAAAATCTAATATTCCTTTAATACAACTTTATATTGTAGTATTGGATAAATAAATTAATACATTCAAGATTTTTATGGCCAGCTAAATCATTAAGCCTAGTGTCATATTTTATTTCATCAAACCTGTCTAAAATATAAAATGTTCTTGGATTAATATCTGCAGACTACATAATAAGATGAAAAATACATAAATTTTTTTTACATTTTTAAAGCAACATTAGTGACCTTTTCAGGAGGTCTGCTAATTTATGAATATACAGTAGATGCACAGGGAAGAGCTAAACACTTTCCTACTAATTGCATGACCTGCAAGCCACGCAGGTGTCATTTCTATCAGAAAGAGCAGATGCAGATTTAAGGAGTTGAAAGTGGTAGGTATAATAGAATTCAAAGACCTCTCATTTGCCTTACCAGCTGCCATCTTCATGTATTTGCATAATACTGTGTGTACTGCAAGTAGAAAAATAGGCCAAGATGTTTTTTAGATATTTAGTGCCGTTATGTGTAGCACTTCCAGAGTCCTGTTTAGCCCTACAACACAATAGGAATCAACCAACTGAAAAGAATTACAAACATTTAGCCAACTGAGAAACTTCGAGCCCTAAACATGACTCTCTCAGCTACTAAGCAACAATTCCTTTCCACCCCTGTCCCCTTCAAGTGGGCCACTGGATCAAGCACATATCTGGGAATCCATATATCTACAAATCTTTGAAAACTTTATGATCTCAATTACACACCACTTCTACAGGATGCAGTACACGAGTTTAGAGAATAGTATTTTAAAGGACACTTTTGGCTTAGTTTAAATCTTCTTTTCCAGATTGAAATCTGCCCTAATACATTACAACCAGGCTCACTTCCTGCCCTATTTCCGGTGTTCTGTCAAAATAGCCAACTGCGTCACTTCCGGTGATTTGCCAGCAGGAGATTTCGATGAGTGTGCATACATAATGTGGCAGTGCGTGGCAATGCCACTGTGTAATGTCCATATTTTAATAGTGTCCAGCGCATGCTGATGGCACAGATGTGCACAGCCTTTGTAATAAAGGTGTTGGGAAGGGCTCTGGGCTCAACCTGGGAGACAGGAAAGCTCCACCCAGGAGTCAGAGTGGAGTCCAGTGCAGCAGGGTGCTGCGGATTGAAAAAAACCCCAGTGTGCAGGTTAGCACATGACTGAGGCTGCTTGGAGGAACAGTCTGTGGCCTGAGGTCTGAGGCCGGTGCAGCGGTGCTGCAAATGCAAAGTCAGGAGGCTGGATGGGCATGTGCTGCCAAGAGATGCTAAAGAAGCCCTGTGAGGGTTATTGCTTTGTTTTGTCAACTTTAATTCAATAAAAGTGGGCAAGGAAGCCCTTAAATGAAGATTTCAGCGAGTGGATGTGTCCTTAATGCGCTACTGTTTGAAACGAATTTTCACAATAACAAAAAAAATGTCCATCGATATAATCCAAACCTCAATCACGTCATCCAGCTATGTAGATCCACATCGACATGGGTACATAGTGCTTTTCCAGGGGGTCCCCCCATGGCAAAGCACCCTTCCCATGTTGAGGGTATGTGGCCTGGTATGTGGCCTGCTTTGCCACACTGCTTCTCGGATTAAGGGTCTGGTAAGGGATTTTAGGGGGACCCCACACTTTTTTTTTGGCATTAGGGCCCCCCCTAAAATTCCTACCAGACCTAAAGGGTCTGGAATAAATTGGGGGGAGCCGCAGTATGTTTTTTTATTGTTTTTTCTGTGCACTGTCAACAGTTTAAAAGAAAAAAGTACACATTTAATGCCACTTTGCTGCAAACAAAGTTAGTTCATAAATATCGTTTAACTCATCCGAAATTAACGAAAAATTTGCATTCCTCTGAATACCAAAATTAATTGACTTTCGGATCCGAATTCCAAAAAATTAAATAACGAAAAAAATGAAACAAAACAAAATTAATTTTTTGCTGGCTTACATGTCTAACCAGTATGACATACTAGACCACTGTTAAACAGTCAGGAGGTCTAGGTCTCCCCCACTTAGAACTATACTACAAATCCACACCACTTTAATTTCACTGAATGGTTATTCCATAACAAAGATATACTGTGGGTCTACAAGAAGAAGGACTTCCTAACTTCCTTTTAGCCATCAGAACTGTGGTCCCAAGACTCTGTAAGTCTAACTTCTTCCAGAGAAAAAAAAAGGTTTAAAGAACAGATCACCAAAATGACCCAGCTACAATGCATGGTGCAACTGATATCTTTACTACATGACAGATTCGAACAATATATGTAGTACTTGTGGTATCTGGATAATTTTGATGAGCCTCACTCAATTTAAGAGCTTACTCCTGTAACACTGATCTTCAACTCATTAACTAGGATTAGATGCTGCTCGCCCATATAGACACCTGTCCCCCTTTCCCTTCCCCAACTATCAGATCCTTTCTGCTCATCCTTACATTCCCTCTGCCCACTATAGCACTTCTCTGCTCTATATTTTCTATATTTTCAGTGAGTAAAAAGCAGAATGCCGCTGAGTGGCATTCGGTTCGGCTGTTCTGCTCGGTCCCTCTGTGGGACCGAGCAGAATAGAAAAATAGTTTAAAAAAAGTAGAAAAATAAAGATTTGAAAACGATTGTGACAGCTAGCTCCGTCCAACTGTTTTCTATTGGCCGGGCGGTTCTCCTGCCGTCAAAATTTTTTTTTTTTTTTAAACGAACACACCATAGGAATGCATAGCTAGATTCCTATTGGCTATTTCACTTGCAATAGCCAATAGCAGACTAGCTATTGCACCCGCCCTCTGCTGCTGTCAATCACCAGAGGGGGACCTGATGGAGAACTGCAGGTCCCCCTCTGCCGATTGACAGCAGCAGAGGGCGGGTGCAATAGCTAGTTTGCTATTGGTTATTACAAATTGAAATAGCCAATAGGAATCTAGCTATGCATTCCTATGGTGATTTCTTTTTTTTGTTTTCTCTTCTGATGGCAGCCAACGGCTCCGATGTCAGAAGAAAAAAAAAAACGATCAGGGAAAGGTTTACTCTGCTCGATTGATCAGAGTAAACCTTTCTGGGAGATAGTGTTTCTCTCCCGGGTGGCCTGGAGCCTATTAGACTCCCAGAGCGTCCGGGGGAGGAATGACAGATGGCGTTCCTGGTTACCATGTTCTGTCATTACAGAACACAGAGAGGCCGCTCTCAGTGTGTAATGACAACATCCATGGTTGGCTGGTAACCAGGGACGCTGATCTCTCTGAAAGTGGCCGGAGCCAGCCATGAGATGACGGCTGGCTCCGCCTAGCTGTCAGAAGCAGTCTTCGGCCAGCCAATGGCCGGCCGCTCGGCCAGCTTCGGCTTTCACCTCGGCATATGCCTTCGGCTCGACTGAGCCACTTGGCCGACTTCGAGAGCTGTACGGGCTATACTGAATAGCCCATACAGCAGCCCTTCGGTTCTACTGAAGCAAAGGGGTCCTGGGGCCGAAGCTAGCCGAAGGATCAGCCGAAGCTACTGCTCAGTGGCGGAACTACCCACGGTGCAGGCGGTGCGGACGCACCAGGGCCTCCGGCCTATTAGCCTGTGCCATTCTGCATTGCTGTAAATATTAGGGTTGCACCGATATATCAGCCGCCAAAAGATATCGGGCCGAAAAGGCACTTTTGGCTAAATGCCAAAAGTGCAATTTTTCTGCTGATACAGCAGCGCATCCCTGCTTTCTTTCCTCCCCGCTGGGCGCTGCTCTGTGTCCCAGCGGGGAGTAGAGAAAGTGACAGCCGGCCGAGCGCTGCGGGAGGAGAGCGCTGTGGTTTTTTTTGAGGGGGGGGCCCAAAAAAAAATCTTGCACCAGGGCCCATGGTTCCTTAGCTCCGCCACTGCTACTGCTAGATCCTTTGGCAGCTTAGTGAATAGACCTCATGGTTTATTACTCTAAGGAAATAGGTCAGTTAAAATGTATTACCGTAATAAAAGATTAATACTGTAAGGATCAAGTAAAATATTTTGTGTAAAAACAATGTCCTATAATTACCGACTATTACATTCTAAAATTGTTTCATACTTTTTAAGAAACCTGAAGAGCAATGCAAGTAGCTGGAACTTACAGCCAAAGAGTGGCTTACATTGACCCCCAGCATAGTGTCAATGTGCCATGAAACCACCAGTGTTTAATCCATATTACACACCACCAAGGGTTATTAAGGAGACATGAACTGAAAGCAGTATGGGGAGGATTGCCATTCTAACCTCCTTTTTAATACCAAGCCAGTCTTTGGCTTTAATACTTTCTAAGTCATGGAACTGGAAAAAGCAAGCAGGTTAGAAAATCAGAATGAATCAGAATTACCTGCTTACTTTTTACAGGTCAGGGCCTTAGTAATTATTGAAGCTACTGAATCAGTATGATAGCCAGGCAACTAGCATTTTCAGAAGCAATCGACTGGCACATGCCTCCCCCTTCTCTTTAGAGCAGACCGCCTCTTTTTTCAAGGACAGTACATGACAAAAAATGTAATAAAATTACCCCGTCCATTAAAGTCCATTTTTGTTTTTTCCTGGCTGTAAAAAACGAAACAGCTCCTGGCTGCACAAACTTCAATTGAATTTAACTGATTCTGTGCCCATACAGTTAGCTGGGAAAAATGACAGTCCAGCACTTTAGCCTGCTCTCACACCTGAACAGAGCAATTTGAAGCTTTTTGGGGGGGCATTTTTGCATATTATTAGTGTAATTGCACATTTTGTTTGTCCAATTAAGATGCTGTACAGTTCTACCTACAGAGCTAAACAGTGTTATATAAAGTGCTATATAGTGCCACTGTTACATTAGTTATTTGCAGTGTGTTGGGCTACAGAAAGTGAAGTGACCCCCCCCCCCTTCATATTCACCTTGCTGTTCAGTGCTGCTTTATTGTGAATTGAATTGGGGTGTGTACCACCCATTGTATTCACAAAACATGTACGAGTGAACATGTCAACACGTAGGAGTAGAATATGCATTTTCTTAGTCTTCTGTATAACACTTACGTGTCACAGATTCTCTTTAGAAGAGACATGCAATGCACAGGGGTGCTGCCTGAGCCCACCAAGCGTATACACTCTACCTATTTTTATATTTTTTTAGGCTGTCATTAAGCATACAGACAGCGTATGTTAAGCTGCAATAAAAAATTATATAATAAAAGTAATCCATTCCCAAATAGTAAAGCTGACAATTAACTAGGGTTTTTCGTATCTAGTGTCACTAAAGAAAATAAAATCAGATGCATTAGATGTTGTGATGCTTTAGGGTCACTTTCTATGACTCTGTTCTTGTGTCCCATAAAAAGGAGACCACAATTAGATATTCTCCTTTGTTTCCTTGTAGTACTTGTAGTAGAGGACAACATTACTCGCTTTCCATACTCTTCACACTTCTTTTGTTAACTGGATTACCAACAAAAGAAAAGCTATGTCACCAGGGAGCAAGCCAATGCTTCAAACATGTTTAGCAAAGCATTTGGCATTAGATAAACAATACCATTTACAAATGAATGAAAACTGTCCTAGGAAAGCAAAATATTATTAAACATGCACATATATTGCTGACCAGTAGCAACTTTTAACCAAGATGCAAAAGTTATGTGTGTGCTAGAAATTCAGTGGTACTGAGCTCTTAAAATGATTAATAAAATCACAATCTTAGGGATCTATTTATAACCAATTTGCAGAGAATGGATATTTTCTATTCAGATAGAATGTACATAATGTACTACTTCCTTTTAGTTATTAGATAACAACAAGGAGCTTCCTTTTTTTTCAGGCCAAATGTATATTGTGAAATGTAAATGAATACTTATTTCCTATGCTCTTCAGTTCCATCTAGTGGCCAACATGCAGTAGTACTTACATACATTTGACCTAAAAAGAAAATATTCCTTAGACCTATCTAGTGGCCAAAATGCAGTAGTACATTATAGACATTTGGCCTGAAAAGAAAATATACTTGAGAACGTTTGTTTTTGTGTCTATTTGCACAAAACAAATGTTCAAAAAAGATTTGTAGGGCAAATGGCTCTGCAAATTGTTTATAAACCATGCAACCCTTGATAATATGTATAAATTCATTTACTTTACACGCTATGATTATGACGTGAGTAATTTTTGCAAATTAGCATGTATATTATCTATATTGCCAATGCCATATATATTAGTATATATACAGCAATATGAAGATATTTAAAATGGTGACATTCACACTGAATTTAGCATTATATTACAAAAGCAGTTCTCCATATTGATACATTTGCTTGAACCTTTTACTTTATTTAATTAGTGACTCACCACATATTAAAACATTCTTCTACTGAGAACATACAGTTTAGAGAAAAATTTGTGAACTTTTGAATTGTGAACTTTTAGGATGTCTTCATGAAAGGACATTAAAATGCTATCTGGTCGGAAGAGAAAACTTGGGGGGGTGTATCCCTACGTCTCTTGTCCCCCCTTTTACCTTGGATATCGTATGTAATGTGATTGTCTTAATGTATGCTTACTGTATTGTATGTGTGTTTTTTGTTATATTTTGAAAATCTTTAATAAACATTTAATATGAAAAAAAAAATGCTATCTGGTCTTCATCTGTCATAATAATGGAGCTATATTTAACAAACACATGTTTTACACTGCCAAAAACTTGTTGAACCAGCGGCCTAAATGTGTATGTCAGCCCTAACAATGAACTTTTCTTATTTGCTCCCTTTTCATCTGTTAAATATACAATTATTATATTTGTTCGGTAGGGGCAAACAATATACCTGTTGATCCTGCCAGAAATCCAGGGAAGTTCTAACTTCCTGTAGTGAGCTGACAATGCTGCACTGTAATGTCAAGTTGATAGTTCCATCTTGGTTGTCTCCATTGACTACAGAAAGGAGAAGAGGGGAGGTGTTGTCCTAACACACTTTATGTCTTACGATGACAACTCTGCATCTCAATAGACACAGAACAGTGAGTTGGTGTTGTTACCCTAGAGCAGGACGTGTGTTACAGGAAAACAACAAGAAAAAACAAAAGAAAGAAGCTTGGAAAAGAAAACTAGTACAGCCACCACATCTAACAATTGGTAGACTGTAACATATTAAGGGGGTTAATGACTAAGCTGCCTAAGGCAGCCGAATTAATAACCGAGCCGAAGTGAAGTGAGCCGAAGGTTGTTTGGCCATTCACAGCAGCTCTGCACGGCTGCATTCGATTCATTTCACTTCCCCTCCAGTTCAGCTGAATAGCCTCTGCGCGTTCGGCTGAGCCGAAGAGAAGAATCTGTTCGCCTCAGCCAATGCAACATCTGGATCAGCTGAGGCGAACATTCGGCAATTCATTTGCTGCTGTTCACCATTATTCTTACAGGGGCCGAACAGCAGAGGGTGAATAGCCAAACTGTCAGCACAGCATTCGGCCTGGTCAGAGTTAGCGTCATGACTCGCTCCACCCATTTGTTTTCATGCCATGACAGCTCACTGACCTGAAATGGCATGAAAATAAATGGGTGGAGTAAGTCCTGACTTTCTCCGCCCATCTGTAGACATTAGTGAGCGGAGCTGTCAAATCTGTCATTTAGCAGCGGGAATTCATTGGGAGCGGACGGGTGTGTGGGTGTCGGATCTTTTTTTAATTTCGGCGAGTCGGTGGGCATCGTTCATTGTGACTGACACTGGATTACATCGCTGGACGTCATGATTGACCATTGATCGCAACATTGGACGATTTTTGGGGGGGTTTTGATAATAAAGGAATTGTCAAAAATTTTGTTTTTTGTTCAATGAAAGGATTTTATCTAAGGTGCTGTCTGTTTATTTACATTTGACTTCACTCTTTAGTGAATGAGTAGGGGTAACGACTACCCCTTACTTATGCACATGGGGGCGCAGCATCTGGGTGCCCAGATGCAAATAAACCCCCCTGCCTGCAGATCCCCGCAACCACCAGGGCCAGAGTTGTGGGGAAGAGGCCCTTGTCCTCATCTGCATGGGGACATTGGTCCCCCCCTGGAAAAGCACCCTCCCAATGCCAAGGGCATTTGGACTGGTATGGTGCAGGGAGGGAAGGGTACTCGCTTGTCCACCCCCTTTCCTGCCCTGCCAGGCCAGTGCTTGGATTAAGGGTCTGGTTTTGGAATTTTAGGCATTGGGGTCCCGCTTAAAATTTACCAGACCTGAAGGGTCTGGAATGACTTTTGGGCAGAACCCAATGCATTTTTTTTTACATCGGTGGGTCCCCCCTAGCATTCCTATCAGGCCTAAAAGGTCGTTTATGATTTAGGAGAAGGACCTCACGCCGCTTTTTAAATCTATTTTTTAACAATTAGCAGGGAGTCAGTCCGCTTCGGCAGACCATTCTCCCCACTTCGGCTGTGTCTTTTGCTGCGCCAAGCCGAAGCATATGTGTTCGGCTTGGCTGTGTGCTTCGGCTACTGTAAGAGCTATTGTGAATAGTGTGTACAGCAGCCCTTCGGTTCAGCTAAACCAAAGAATTCCTGCAGCCGAAGTGAGCCAAACGATTAGCCGAACGTTGGGCTATATCCTTCGGCTCTTTGGTAAATAACCCCCTAAATGTTTGTTCTTGGGTTCAGATACGCTTTAAAAAAATCAAGGCCAGTGATTTAAAAAGTTTGTGAATCTTAGGGGTCTATTCACTAAGCTGCCGATGGCAGCCAAGTAAATAACCGACCCGAAGTGAAGTGAGCTGAACGCTGTTCGGCTATTCACTTCAGGCTTGTACGGCTGATTTCAGCCGTATATCGGCTGAAATCAGCCATACATTGGGTGGCTTCGTGTGGCTTCGGGTCGGCCGAACATGCTCAGCATGTTTGGCTGACCCGAAGTGCAGAAGGAGTACGACAGCGGTTCTGCTGCCGTCCCCCCCAAATTTTTTTTTAAACGAACACACCATAGGAATGCATAGCTAGATTCCTATTGGCTATTTCGCCAATAGCAGACTAGCTATTGCACCCGCCCTCTGCTGCTGTCAATCACCAGCGGGGGACCTGATGGAGAACTGCAGGTCCCCCTCTGCTGATTGACAGCAGCAGTGGGCGGGTGCAATAGCTTGTTTGCTATTGGCTATTGCTAAGTGAAATAGCCAATATGAATCTAGCTATGCATTCCTATGGTGTTTGTTTGTTTTTTCTGACTTTTCTGACTGAGGGCAGCCAGCGGCTCCATGTCAGGGGAAAAAAAAACAGATCGGCTCGACTAAGCCGCTTGGCCAACTTCGGGAGCTGTACGCGCTATACTGAATAGCCAGTACAGTAGACCTTCGGTTCTACTGAACCGAAGGGGTCCTGGGTCTGAAGCCAGCCGAAGGATCAGCCGAAGCTACGGCTAGATCCTTCGGCAGCTTAGTGAATAGACCCCTTAATTTTGTGGGGAAGAGGCCCTTGTCCTCATCTGCATGGGGACATTGGTCCCCCCCTGGAAAAGCACCCTCCCAATGCCAAGGGCATTTGGACTGGTATGGTGCAGGGAGGGAAGGGTACTCGCTTGTCCACCCCCTTTCCTGCCCTGCCAGGCCAGTGCTTGGATTAAGGGTCTGGTTTTGGAATTTTAGGCATTGGGGTCCCGCTTAAAATTTACCAGACCTGAAGGGTCTGGAATGACTTTTGGGCAGAACCCAATGCATTTTTTTTTACATCGGTGGGTCCCCCCTAGCATTCCTATCAGGCCTAAAAGGTCGTTTATGATTTAGGAGAAGGACCTCACGCCGCTTTTTAAATCTATTTTTTAACAATTAGCAGGGAGTCAGTCCGCTTCGGCAGACCATTCTCCCCACTTCGGCTGTGTCTTTTGCTGCGCCAAGCCGAAGCATATGTGTTCGGCTTGGCTGTGTGCTTCGGCTACTGTAAGAGCTATTGTGAATAGTGTGTACAGCAGCCCTTCGGTTCAGCTAAACCAAAGAATTCCTGCAGCCGAAGTGAGCCAAACGATTAGCCGAACGTTGGGCTATATCCTTCGGCTCTTTGGTAAATAACCCCATAAATGTTTGTTCTTGCGTTAA